GTCCTAATCAGGACTAAACATAATTATACCATAACTGAGCAAGAAGCATCAGCCATAGTTTCGTCTTTAAATCACTTTCGGAATATCATCTACCAGCATCCAAATATACATACAAATACATGTACAATATTTCTTTTCTGCAGTATACTGGTACAGGTTCACATCCCTTTATCCAAAATTCGAAAACGTTCCAAAAACCAAAGTTTTTTCACGGAGTGTAGAGCATCAGTCATCTCTGTGCTAGGTCACACCGTCATGTGGCGGCGTTGTGAATCATTCTGAGATTTGAAAAAGTCTGAAATTTGAAACAATACATGCCCCAAGGGTTTTGGATAAAGGGATGTAGTACACCTGTAATTAGTTATGTGTATACAGTAACGTTAAGTACGAAGAAAGCCAGTAACATGCAGAGAATTTCAGGCAGATTAATACCAGTGCTTAAAAGACTATTTAAGAACCAGACATGTTAGTGTGACTTTGTAAATGGTCCAAGTCGGACTGAAACATCATTGTAAGCTGCTCTCTCCTGTGTGGGGGTTATTTGTGTCTTGTTCCAGTCATAGTATTGTGCCCTTTTGTTTTATACAGTAGGAATTTTTAAACGTACAAAAAAGAGAGGTAGTTAAGTGAATAATGGTTTACTTTTAAGTACAGTAAGTCCTCGGACCTATAAACACACTGGGGACCTCTTGAATTATGTATAATATTCAACTTATGAACATGTTGGGGACCTTCTGTAATGTGTATCATAATACTGTTATTATACACAATATGTAATGACATACAACAGAGATGATTCGCAGTGTGTTTGTAAGTCAAGGACTTTACTGTATCAGTCAAACATCAAACTGATGCACTGACTGTCATTTAAGTGGATTTCTTGTGCAGTTTCAAACTGACTAAATGTCTTCAGTTTGTGGAATGACTGAAAGATCATGTTTCAAAATCACCAATGAGCCTGGTAGACCAGGCAAGCACCAGACGAGCCTGGCCCATGGCCAGGCTCCAGGAGTAGCTAAACTCTCAAAACTCTTCAATGATATATCAAAGGTAGTGTAATACATTAACCATAGTCATTATCTTTTCAGACTTTCAAATTTTGTCAGCCACATTAACAAATTTAAATTTAGATTAACAATACAGCACTAATTAGAGTTATTTTTTATTCCGATGAAGCAACATGCATTATAGAGGCAGTACAATACACAACATACAAGTATATAATATATTAAAAAAAATGCACATTAAAAACTGGGTCGGAAGAAAAAATACTCCAATGCATGGTTATTACTGATATACAAAAGCTACATATTTATGATGACTTAACCTAGGATATTTCAACAATTCGTGTATAATTTGACATTTCTAACACTGTAAATCACGAGGTGGGGAACCTGCAGCCTTGTAGGGCATTAAGTGCCACCTTCTGAATGAGTTATTTCTCTTGAAGTTATTATGCAATTAATTTTTTACAAAAAAACTGACACTGCAGTACAGCAAGTTTTGACTTACACATTAGGGGGGACTTCCTGAATTGTATGTAATACAGTGGACCCCCGGTTTACGATCAGCTCCCAATGCGATCAATTATGTAAGTGTATTTATGTAAGTGCGTTTGTATGTGTATGTTTGGGGGTCTGAAATGGACTAATCTAATTCACAATATTCCTTATGGGAACAAATTCGGTCAGCAATGGCACCTGAATGTGCTTCTGAAATGAAATAATATCGTAAACCAGGGGGCCACTGTATTCATAATACAGGAAATACGTCTGTATATCTTGTACACGTACTTGTAGAATCAAAGGTATTATTGTTATTACGTCAGAGACTTCCTGTATTTTGTATAATAATGATATATTAATTATACACAATAATAATAACGATATACACAGTACACAAGATTCTCAACGTGTTTAAGTCAAGGACTTACCGTATACATACTTATAATCAAAATTTTTTGAATGCGGCCTTATTAGAAAACAGGTAATTTTAATGCAACCTTCCAACGTAAAGAAGGTCCCCATCCTAGGGCATTTCTGCCCGAAATGCCCAGGTATAATAGTGGCTTTCTTTGTACTTAGCAAACCAAAATTGTAATTACACATTGTAACCTTTACGAAGAAATAAAATCTCTATCTTTTAATACAATCTGTAAGGGAAGGTTGACAGCGCTCTCGCCTCATGCACCGAGTGTCTGGGGTTCGATCCCCAGCTGGCTGGAAACATTGAGAGTGTTTCCTTACACCTGCCATCCCTATTCACCTAGCTGTAAGTAGGTACCTGGGCATTAGGTTACTGGTGTGGGTGGCATCCTGGGGGACAAGATTGAAGGATCACAATGGAAATAAGACAGACAGTCCTCGATGACCCCTTGGGTTATCCTGGGTGGCTAACCCTCCCCTGGGTTATCCTGGGTGGCTAACACTCCCCTGGGTTATCCTGGGTGGCTAACACTCCCCTGGGTTATCCTGGGTGGCTAACACTCCCCTGGGTTATCCTGGGTGGCTAACACTCCCCTGGGTTATCCTGGGTGGCTAACACTCCCCTGGGTTATCCTGGGTGGCTAACACTCCCCTGGGTGGCTAACACTCCCCTGGGTTATCCTGGGTGGCTAACACTCCCCTGGGTTATCCTGGGTGGCTAACACTCCCCTGGGTTATCCTGGGTGGCTAACACTCCCCTGGGTTATCCTGGGTGGCTAACACTCCCCTGGGTTATCCTGGGTGGCTAACACTCCCCTGGGTTATCCTGGGTGGCTAACACTCCCCTGGGTTATCCTGGGTGGCTAACCCTCCCCTGGGTTATCCTGGGTGGCTAACCCTCCCCTGGGTTATCCTGGGTGGCTAACCCTCCCCTGGGTTATCCTGGGTGGCTAACACTCCCCTGGGTTATCCTGGGTGGCTAACCCTCCCCTGGGTTATCCTGGGTGGCTAACACTCCCCTGGGTTATCCTGGGTGGCTAACCCTCCCCTGGGTTATCCTGGGTGGCTAACACTCCCCTGGGTTATCCTGGGTGGCTAACCTCCCCTGGGTTATCCTGGGTGACTAACACTCCCCTGGGTTATCCTGGGTGGCTAACACTCCCCTGGGTTATCCTGGGTGGCTAACCCTCCCCTGGGTTATCCTGGGTGGCTAACACTCCCCTGGGTTATCCTGGGTGGCTAACCCTCCCCTGGGTTATCCTGGGTGGCTAACACTCCCCTGGGTTATCCTGGGTGGCTAACACTCCCCTGGGTTATCCTGGGTGGCTAACACTCCCCTGGTTATCCTGGGTGGCTAACACTCCCTGGGTTATCCTGGGTGGCTAACACTCCCCTGGGTTATCCTGGGTGGCTAACACTCCCCTGGGTTATCCTGGGTGGCTAACACTCCCCTGGGTTATCCTGGGTGGCTAACACTCCCCTGGGTTATCCTGGGTGGCTAACACTCCCCTGGGTTATCCTGGGTGGCTAACACTCCCCTGGGTTATCCTGGGTGGCTAACACTCCCCTGGGTTATCCTGGGTGGCTAACACTCCCCTGGGTTATCCTGGGTGGCTAACACTCCCCTGGGTTATCCTGGGTGGCTAACACTCCCCTGGGTTATCCTGGGTGGCTAACACTCCCTGGGTTATCCTGGGTGGCTAACACTCCCCTGGGTTATCCTGGGTGGCTAACACTCCCCTGGGTTATCCTGGGTGGCTAACACTCCCCTGGGTTATCCTGGGTGGCTAACCCTCCCCTGGGTTATCCTGGGTGGCTAACACTCCCCTGGGTTATCCTGGGTGGCTAACCCTCCCCTGGGTTATCCTGGGTGACTAACACTCCCCTGGGTTATCCTGGGTGGCTAACACTCCCCTGGGTTATCCTGGGTGGCTAACCCTCCCTGGGTTATCCTGGGTGGCTAACACTCCCCTGGGTTATCCTGGGTGGCTAACCCTCCCCTGGGTTATCCTGGGTGGCTAACACTCCCCTGGGTTATCCTGGGTGGCTAACCCTCCCCTGGGTTATCCTGGGTGGCTAACACTCCCCTGGGTTATCCTGGGTGGCTAACACTCCCCTGGGTTATCCTGGGTGGCTAACACTCCCCTGGGTTATCCTGGGTGGCTAACACTCCCCTGGGTTATCCTGGGTGGCTAACACTCCCCTGGGTTATCCTGGGTGGCTAACACTCCCCTGGGTTATCCTGGGTGGCTAACACTCCCCTGGGTTATCCTGGGTGGCTAACACTCCCCTGGGTTATCCTGGGTGGCTAACACTCCCCTGGGTTATCCTGGGTGGCTAACACTCCCCTGGGTTATCCTGGGTGGATAACCCTCCCCTGGGTTATCCTGGGTGGATAACCCTCCCCTGGGTTATCCTGGGTGGCTAACCCTCCCCTGGGTTATCCTGGGTGGCTAACCCTCCCCTGGGTTATCCTGGGTGGCTAACCCTCCCCTGGGTTATCCTGGGTGGCTAACACTCCCCTGGGTTATCCTGGGTGGCTATCCCTCCCCTGAGTTATCCCGGGGTGAATTATCATAATCAACAGGAAGCGCTAAACCCGAAGGATTATACAACACCCTGGGGGGGGGAGTGGAAGGTACTCAGGACTTAATTCAGGTTACCAGAGCATAGATCCAGTTCCCCAGATCAAGATCCCCTGCCCAGCGTCAAGGAACCTCCCCTGGGGGAGGGGAAATAAGACATTTAAAAACGCGATAGATAAATAGATATATGGAGCAGACGACGCGAGAGATGAGAGAGAACGGGACCTTAACACACCAATTTAACCCTTATGTACCACTCATACATAGCTCTATCATGCCCCTACAACCCTCCACACACTCGCTGACACTGCATACACCCCCTGGGGCTGACAACACAGCTGACAGCAGCATCTTCACCCCGGGAGTGGCAGCGCCACCCACACCACAAAACCCCTTATTTCCCCCCTTATATAACCCCCCAGGGGGCCACCCACACCCCCACACCAAACCCCAAGGGTTCATAAACACCCACAAGATACTCTAACCTCACCTATGACTTCCCTCAGGTCGTAATCCTCCTTTGTATTGGGCCAAGGCTTCTCTTCGGCCATTTTGGACTCACTAGAAATGCTGCCTCGGTGTGGACGAGGCAGCTGCTGCAGCGCCGCCGGCAGCTCCATTGATGCCGATTTTTTACGGTATGTTCCTGGCGACCCCGGGGGCATTAGGCCTGGGGTTATTTTCCTGAAAGGCAAAAGAATATTGTGTAATTTTTCCCTTTTGGAATGCGTGGCTGGGGAGGGTGGGTTGAGGGGGTGTTCGTTTTAGCGGGGTTTATTTAATATCTCACTCCCCGGTATAATGGTTTTGTTATATATCACTGGTATATAGAGTTTATAAGGTATATATACTATAAATTAAGTTTACCATATATATGCTGTAAGATGTAAGATGAGAGAGACGTAGTAACCTTCAGACTGGTGAGTCAGGGTGCGTCTTAATAACGGGACACTAATGTCTAGTTTCTTGCTTTTTTAACCAAGTTTACACTTATTTAGGTTAGTGGGGAGCGAGGTGGACCAGGAACACACTACCACAGGTTACAAACACACTCAGTAGGCTGAGTAAAGTGCACTTTGTTGGGTTACAAGGTCTTGAGTGAGACCAGCGAGGGGGACCTGGACGGGGACATCCAGGTACCACTTCGCTATTTTTACGTACCACTCGCTCTACCCTTTTGTAACTTACAAAAAGTTGTTTACTTGCTGTGTTGTATTTGTATATCTTAACCAGCGAGTACAATAAGTGATGAGGTGCAAAGAGAGATAAATAAGGCAGCTGGGTAGTATACCTTGGCACTTCACCCCGACATATACACGACACCAATTTCACAATTTCGTCACCAGGAGAGAGAAAAATATTTGAAAACGACGCTCTCACCACTTCCCGAATTTGCTAATGAGCAAATATGACGCACTAAACGAAAGTGTTAATGAACGTAATCCTGTATTGACAAGAAACCTTGGCTGGCGAAACGCAAATCTCGACATTAGACCTGTATAGAAGTTTAAAACTCACGAGACAGTCTGAAGATTACTGGAATATTTACAGTGGCTGTTGGTGCTGTTAAGAGCAGGGGGAGTAGATAATGTTTGCGAAGTGTCAATGTTTTTGTAAGGTTGTACACACGTGCATCTCACGTAATCACTGCCCACTAAATCCTTTTACAAACCAGAATAAAGAAAGCAGCATTACATAAGCCCCTAACTACACAATAAACGTCATTTATTATGGATTGTTTGTGAGAGAAGGGGGTCTGGGAGCGGGAGCTAAGATGACGGTCCTCTTCCTCCCTCAATGACTATGTTGGCACTCGTGAACCACAGTCAGGACAATTAAGAAACAAGGATGCAGCTCTCAACCTCATTTCTGCCCCAACAACGGGTACTTGTGACTGCCAGGGTGTTCGTTCTGGGAGAGAAGCTCAAGGATAATGTTATGTGGCAACCTGAGGGAGTTATCAGCGCTGGCTGAGGTAAACTGGGAATATACACACACACACATACACACACACACACACACACACACACACACACACACACACACACACACACACACACACACACATACACACACCACACACACACACACACACAGCGAAGAGGCGGGGCCAGGAGCTGTGAATCGACCCCTGCAACCACAAATAGGTGAGTACAAATAGGTGAGTACACACACACACTTGAACGACTAAGATAAACACACACACACACACACTTGTCACACAGTTATCAGGAAGTAGAATAGTCTGGAGAGTGATGTAGTGGAGGCAGAATCCATACATAGCTTTAAGAAGAGGTATGACAAAGCTCATGGAGCAGGGGGAGAGACTGGACCTAGTAGCGACCAGTGAAGAGGCGGGACCGGGAGCTATGAATCGACACCTGCAACCACAATTAGGTAAGTACACACTGGAGAGTGATGTAGTGGAGGCAGAATCCATACACAGCTTTAAGAAGAGATACTGTAAAGCTCATGGAGCATGGAGTGGACCTAGTAGCGACTAGCTAAGGAGTGGGGCCTGCAGCTGTGAATCGACCCCCGCAACCACACATAGGTGAGTCCACACACACACACAGGCACGGATAATAGGAAAGGTGTTACAATGTATCAGAGAATACTTGACAGGAAGGAAACAGTGGGTGAAATTACGTGACGAGGTGTCAGAGTGGGCGCCTGTGACGAGCGGGGTTCCACAGGGGACAGTCCTAGGACCGGTGCTGTTTCAGAGGTAACCCTGTTTGCAGGAGTTCATTACCTTTGTAAATTGTGAGTTCATTACCTTTGTAAATTGTGAATTCATTACCTCTGTAACTTGCTCAGCTATCAAAACTTTGGAGTCCAGTCCCTGGACCAATTATGTACCTCTGTAACCTTTTGACTACCGCCCACAGGATGGGTATGGGGTGACTACCGCCCACAGGATGGGTATGGGGTGACTACCGCCCACAGGATGGGTATGGGGTGCATAATAAACATATTAAACTAAGACGACGTGAAGCTTATGAGGAGAATACAGTTGAATGAGGATTTGGCAAGACTACAAAGGGATCCGGATAGGCTGCAAGCCTGGTTTAACATCTGGCTCCTGGAGTTTAACCCCACCAGGTGCAAAATTATGAAGATTGGATATAGACAAAGAAGACCGTAGACGAAGTACGGGCTCCGGGAGGGAAGGGGAGGGGATCAAAGACTGAAAACCTCACTCAAGGATTATTCTGGGTTATCCTGGGTGGATAATCCTCCACTGGGTTACCCTGGGTGGCTAACCATCCCCTGGGTTACCCTGGGTGGCTAACCCTCCAGAGCAAAATCTTATCTGGCACTTTCCTGACAGTGCCCTAGAGGGGCACTGGCCAAGGGGACGAGGTGGGTGGCACTCTCACCCTAACAGGTACTTGACCAAACCACTAACAGATAACAGGATAACAGAGATAACAGGTATGTTGTAAGGTGTGAAACCAAGGTGAGAAATTAATGATTAATCAGTTTGTTAGCCATGAACTATCTCTCTCTCTCTCTCTCTCACCCCTCTCCCACACCCCCCTCTCTCTCACCCCCTCTCCCACACCCCCTCTCTCTCACCCAGTTTTAAGAACTGTAGCAGGATGAGGGGCTGGGCCCAGGAGCTAAGTGAGTGCATGCATACACATATATTAGGTGGGGCCAGGAGGTGTGATTCGACCCCTGCAACCACAAACACGTGAGTACACACACCAGTTGTAAATCCAGTATAAATGTTTCCGGGTATGTATCAGGGGTATCAAGAAGGTATCAGGTATCGGATATGCTCAAGATTCAACCCACAACCCATTAACCCACGACCCATTAACCCACAACCCATTAACCCACAACCCATTAACCCACAACCCATTAACCTACGACGCACTAACTCACGGCCCATTAATCCACAACCCATTAACCCACGACCCATTCCACCTAGGGTTATTCCAGCCACTAGTCAATTATGTTTATATATCTCAGTGTATATACACTGAGAGGTGTATATCTCAGTGTATATACACTGATAGGTGTATATCTCAGTGTATATACACTGAGAGGTGTAGTATATCTCAGTGTATATACACTGAGAGGTGTAGTATATCTCAGTGTATATACACTGAGAGGTGTATATCTCAGTGTATATACACTGATAGGTGTATATCTCAGTGTATATACACTGATAGGTGTATATCTCAGTGTATATACACTGATAGGTGTATATCTCAGTGTACATACACTGAGAGGTGTTTTATCTCAGTGTATATACACTGAGAGGTGTATATCTCAGTGTATATACACTGAGAGGTGTATATCTCAGTGTATATACACTGAGAGGTGTATATCTCAGTGTATATACACTGATAGGTGTATATCTCAGTGTATATACACTGAGAGGTGTATATCTCAGTGTATATACACTGATAGGTGTATATCTCAGTGTATATACACTGAGAGGTGTATATCTCAGTGTATATACACTGAGAGTGTATATCTCAGTGTATATACACTGAGAAGGTGTATATCTCAGTGTATATACACTGAGAGGTGTAATCTCAGTGTATATACACTGGGAGGTGTATATTCAGTGTATATACACTGATAGGTGTATATCTCAGTGTATATACACTGAGAGGTGTATATCTCAGTGTATATACACTGATAGGTGTATATCTCAGTGTATATACACTGAGAGGTGTATATCTCAGTGTATATACACTGAGAGGTGTATATCTCAGTGTATATACACTGGGAGGTGTATATCTCAGTGTATATACACTGATAGGTGTATATCTCAGTGTATATACACGAGGTGTATATCTCAGTGTATATACACTGATAGGTGTATATCTCAGTGTATATACACTGAGAGGTGTATATCTCAGTGTATATACACTGAGAGGTGTATATCTCAGTGTATATACACTGGTAGTTTATATTAATCAGTATTTTAGGTATTATTCTTGACTGGTGGTGAACAGGTGACCTGCAGCCTTAATGACCCTCACTACAGCCGTCATGTCTAACACGAAATCAACATTCTACTCGTCCGTTACAGTGATGGTACGTGGGAACAACAGTGACAACAGTACACACATGCTAAACCACTAATTTACATACAAATAACATAAGAACATAAGAAAGAAGGAACACTGCAGCAGGCCTACTGGTCCATGCGAGGCGGGTACAAGTCTCCTACCGGCTTAAACCAATGCCCCAACCTAGTCAGGTCAAGTCAAATTCACTTAAGGAAGGAACACGGCAACTGACCTAGCAGCACAAGCTAATCAGGTCCAACTCACACCTACTCATGTATTTATCTAACCTATTTTTAAAACTACACAAAGTTTTAGCGTCTATGACGGTACTCAGGAGTTTGTTCCCATGTCCTTATACACACTATGCATGTTTGTATTCTCCTTATTAGTTTTATATCATCAGCAAAGTGGGAATCATCAGTCACTTAAACTAGAAACAGGAATGGTTCAAATATCGACCCTTGGGGCACCCCGCTTGATAATCTTGAGCATTCTGATGCAACTTCCCTGACAGTCACATCTTCCCCCCTTCCCTCTATGACACTCTTGGATCCACTAAGTGTCCCATAGCCCAATCGACCCCCTGAGGTCAGGGGGTCGATCCCGGGTACGAATGGACACATTACTAGGTGTTTCCTTAAGACACCTGCCGTCCATGTTCACCTAGCAGTAAAATAGGTACCTGGATGTTAGTCGACTGGTGTGGGTCGCATCCTGGGGACAAAACTGACCTAATTTGCGGGAAATGCTCAGCATAACAAGGGACTTTCTATATAGTAGTATGCGATTGATGTCAGCTATGATCTGTATACCTTGTACGTGTACTTCTATACCTTGTACATGTACTGGTAGAAATAAAGATAGTATTAATATTGAGATGGCATAGTGTTTTTGTGGTGTACAGTGTCAAATAGCTTTTTGTAGTCTAGGAAAGTGCAATCCACCCAACCCTCTCTGTCTCACTTCTGTTAAATTGTTATAGAATTCCCACAATTTAAGACAAAACTTGTCATCTCTGAACCCATGCTGGTCATTATGAAGCCACATCAAGGGTTCTAACACTCTCCTATCTTCTCCATTACCTTGTATGGTATACATGTTGGTCTCTAGTTCAACGCTGCCTGTCTGTCTAATTTCTTAAATATAGGGACAACATTCACAACTCCTGGATCTCTGGCAACTGTCATATATTAACTAACTTCTTGTGGATCTTGGCCAGTGATCCAGTGCGTGTGTTCCTTCTGACAGAATCCACAGTGACATTTTGTCAGGTCCCACTGACTTTGATGTGTCCGGCTGTGTGTGTGTGTGTGTGTGTGTGTGTGTGTGTGTGTGTGTGTGTGTGTGTGTGTGTGTGTGTGTGTGTGTGTGTGTGTGTGTGTGTGTGCGCGCGCTCACCTAATTGTTGTTGCAGGGGTAGATTCACAGCTGCTGGCCCCGCCTCTTCACTGATCACTACTAGGTCCACTCTCTCCCTGCTCCATGAGCTTTATCATACCCCTTCTTAAAACTAAGTATGGATACTGCCTTCCCTACATTACTCTCCAGATTGTTCCACTTCCTGACAACTCCACGACTGAATACACAAATAACCCGCACATAGAAGAGAGGAGCTTACGACACAAGAGAGGAGCTTACCACAGAAGAGAGGAGCTTACCACAGAAGAGAGGAGCTTACGACAGAAGAGAGGAGCTTACCACAGAGAAGGAGCTTACGACACAAGAGGGACTAACCACAGAAAAGGACTTACCACAGAAGAGAGGAGCTTACGACACAAGAGATGAGCTTACCACTAGAAGAAGGAGTTTACGACACAAGAGGAGCTACCACAGAAGAGAGGAGCTT